AATAAATTTTAGAAAATCTAGACAAGGGGTGGGTGCATGACTTAATGCTGGGAAACAGCAGCTTGGGGGTTGAGTTTACTTGAATGGATTAAAATTGCATTGTTACAGAGCTAGAAAAAATATAAGTATGAAAAATGATAATAGCCTTACACTGAGTACAAATAATACTTAAAAGCATGTGAAGATGTGATCATTCGTGATGTTACTTGTAAAAAAAAGTATATATATCTTTTGAAGTGTTGAAAGGAAATAGTACTTTATATCTTTATCATATCACTTTTTGTAAGTGTTGAATATATTCCTGTTTATTTTTCTATGTTCTGTTTTGTAGCCTTAACAAGTGTTTCAAACATATCTGAATGTATAAGAGTAAATGCCCTACATGGTGTGATGCTGCATTATATATAAAACTGTGTGCATATATTAAATTTTGTCTGTTGATTCTGCTTGTGATTCTTTGATTCCAGGGTTAATCGACTAATATAGCATGTAATCTTAAGAGGAATTTAGTAAACTTCTAAAAATAAGAGATGGTTTCCATGGTTTTTATCCAGTCAGAAGATAATTCTAGTATGTCCAACTAAAAACCACATCGGATTTATAAACTATAGGGTAGGTACTATTCTTTTCCCTGCTTTATATATTTAGTAATAATGAGATAGGCCATGTAATTTACTTTGTCATGCAGCTAATTAGTGGTAGAATTTGGATCTGAACCTTGCTGAGAGGCTTTACAGCTAGTTTGCTCTGCCTGTTTTTCAGCACTAAAATGGGAATATAGAATATCTGGGACTGATTTATAGATTACATTTACTTTACTTTTTTAAAGTTAGTGCTCAATATTTGTGTTCTGAAGAAAGATAAAGTAAATCATTTGAAAGAGGTTTTTTTTGTTTGTTTGTTTTTTTAAATAAAGTAGATCTAAAGTTTTTTAAGGTTGTAATTCTTTCATTGAATCAAGTCACTTAAGAGTTTGGCTAGTCAGGACTTGATTAACCTACTTACTAACATGTACTTTGTCTGAGAATGGTTTTGCCAGAAGGCACAGCCTGAAACAAAGGCTTCACTCAGGATCAGTGTTTGATAGAAAGGTGATCTAGGAACGGGAGAGGTAAGCTGGGAAGGATGAAGAAGTTGGTTCTAGTTTTTGAAGTTTTTAGACTGCTTGAGGTGGCCAGTGAAGGCGAGAACCTTAGAGGACTGGGGTGGGGAAGGAAGGGGAAAGAAGCATTTATCCGTTAGCCATGTGAGTGCCAATGTCTTTTGCCAGTGAGTCAGTAGAGAAGCCAAATACGGGGAGGAAAGCAAGAAGGCTGTCCTCCCTGGTGTTGGCCGGAGCCAGCAGAACTGGTCACCTGAGATGGATGGGGGCAAAGTGAGACCAAGTGACCAGTGACCCACAGAAGGTCCTGTCCAGGGTTTCTCTGGAAGTTTAATGTTATTAAAAGGGCCTGCTTTTCACTTTTAATATTTTACATTTCCACTTAACTCTGACTTTTAGGTCCATGTCTAGGGAATAGTATGAGAATACATAAATTACAAAAGAAGTAAGTAAATACATCTTCTCTTCAGAAACACTAAATTTATAAAAAAAACTCTTCCAAAAGTGAATTTGCACTCAGAATAGTGAAGCCATAGACATTGATAAAAATGTTAAGATTTTTTTTTTTTTGGTTTGATCTAGCTAGGAATTCATTAGAGCTTAAAAGTTAACTATTTAAAATACCTAACATTCTTGTGATTACATTTCATTTTTCACACAAAATGATCTTGTAAGGATTAATGGGGTAAATAAAAAAATGAACAGTGCGGTTAAGGCGGCTTAATGGCTTTCAATAGTGTAATGAAACAATTGGTAAGTTATTTAAAAAAATTCTGTGCAGTAAGCTAATTTTTTGACTAACCACCTTCAGATGGAGTAGAAAACAAAGTAATGCTATATACCTACTTATCTAGGGAATATTCCTGTTACAGTGTAACTTGTTGCATGCTTTCTGCAAGTTACTTTCTAACTTCAGAGTTAATGAAAACATTTTAGTCCTCTGATTTATAAGTATGTTCACAGGTCGGGGGCCAAAAATGCAGACCAGAAGCCACACTAAGGCCGTGCTCTACGAGAAGGGAATATTGGCTGGACATGGCTGGCAGCCTCATTAGCAGAGTTGTGTATATGGAGATAGACTTGGGCACACGCAAGGTGGGGAGCTGAAACAAATTTACTTTAAAGCCAGGAGCACTCCAGTAAAAATGGAAATAATGACAATAGCAAAAATTTTCTATAGACAGTCTCTCCTTGCCTGGGTTCCAGATTCTTAAAAGAAAAACCCACTAAGAATGAATGTTATGCTTGTTCAGGTTTGAGGTTGAGAAATCCCCATGCTGAGGTGAAAAGTGGTTCCAAGCTGGGAATACATTTGCATCACCTTGTAGAAACAAGCTGAAAGCAAGCCTTTGGGCAGACCCCAGTCAAGGAGCTAAGGTCATGTTAACATAAAACCAGCTTGACAGTAGCTTAAACAAATCGGTATTTATTTCCCTGTCATAAGATACCACCAGGGAAGTAGCTGTTGGGTCATGTTAGGACTAGCATCCTTGGGGCATTCTTGGCATTTCTCTTACTACCTCATGGTTACAACACATCCACATGAATCTGTACCGGATACAACTTTTATTAAAGCAAGAGGGCTTCCAGAAGTACCCCCAAGAGGCTGCTACTTTCAACTTCATGGCTGGGACTGTGTCATGGCCATGCCTAGCTGCAGCAAACACTAGGAAAATAAGAGGATGGTCATGATCCGAGCCATCTGGGGCTGGGCATACTGCCTACTCTTATCAGGTTGCTAAGGAAGGAGGTGCTCGTAGTACAAGGTTGGGAAGGAGGTGTGTTTGGCACACTAAACGTTTTCACAGGTAAATCCTCACTGAACATTGGCACTGGGAAGTGCCAACATTATGCAAGGAAGAAATCAACATTATGCAAGGAAGGAAACAATCCAAGAGCAAGACAGCAGACAAAATACATAGTAGTGCACACATGAAGTGGATAGGCTCTAAATGTTTCTAAATGATAAAAGAATGGAAGAGAGAAAACTGCTATCTTGAGAATTCTAGCTGCTGCCCTGATTGGTTTTGCTTTCTCTTCAGTCCCTGCTTTGAGTGGGTAAAAACCTCTTATGTGCATCTTAAAGGCACTGGGAGTCCACTGCAGTTTGTCTGGATTCAGCCTTTAACCACCCATCTCTCCACGCTGCCTTGGACCAGACACCATGTATTCTGCATTACATGGGTTATTTCATCACTTATCAATGTAGGTGCTATTTTTTCTGGCAGCTACCTCCTTCACGTAGCCCTGACTCTCCAACACAACTATTTCTCATCTGAACCACTGGGTACTCGTAATATATACCAGACACTGGGTTAAGTCTGACACACATGTATCTAAATGTTAATGAAAATTAACAAAATTATAGAACCTAGTAGTTAGCCTACCATCCTACTTTCTGTGGTTTAAGTAGATTCATTCTTTCAATACTACATGTAGGCAAAGTACTTGCTAGACACCAAACTATAACACTGAATTATAAGCAAGAAAGATACAGCACTGGACTTAAAGATGCTAAAAACATGATTTCTGAACAGCTGGTAAATAAAAAGTTCAAATGGTAATGGCTGTATGTATGAATGTCTCCTTTCCTGTTCTTTAATGAAGTTACTCTTCCCCAAAGCAGTAAGCTTGAGTATCCTTCTGTATTATTTTTATATGAATGGTGTATTACAAACTGTTGCACCATGCTTTTTTGCTTAGTTCTAATCAGGACATACTAAGCAGTCTCATTCTTTTTAATTGCTAACATCTGCCCTGATGGTGTGTTGAGCTGGTAATACTGATACAAAAACTTGTGTTAGCAATTGTAAGACCTTTTCAACTGCTATGTAAAATTTTAACATCTAAACCCATATAAATTTCACTTACATGGAAAATATTACAATACATATTCTGTCATAAGCATTAAGGAGAAAGAACTGCTGTTAATCTATCACAAGTATTTCTTTTAGGACAATACGGAATCAGTAATAATAGCTCTTGGCTTATTTTATTAATACATTTGAAATAATTCACAAATTTAACTTATCCTTAAAAGTAGGCACTGTGTATTTTAGTATAATCCCATTTATATACAATACAAACTCTTTACATATTCACACTTAGTGCACAGGGAAAAAGCATGAGATGCAAACACTGGGAACCTTTGGGATGGTGATGTGTGAGGGAGAGCTAAGTTTATTCCATAGATTTCCATACATTTGAATTTTTCACGTGAATAGATTATATTAATTTTTGAAAGGCCAAGTAGGCGCAGTTAAACCTTAATTTCCAGTTTGTGTATTACAGCTTTTGTTTCAAGCAGCTCTAACAGTCTGTTCAATAATTTCTGATTTCACCCTCTTGCCACTCCAACTCCAGAGGAACTGAAGGTGGCTTCACACTGCAGGTTCCCACTGCTCAGAGGTCAAATAGATTCCAATAATGTCCTCTATATCCAAACTCAGAAATGAGTATAGGGGGACTTGATTTATCAGCACTAATGTTGCTTTTAGGTAAGTGGCTCATAGTCCTTGGCTATGTATCAGAAACCTGTGGAAACTTAAAAATAGTAAATGCTTAGGTACCAACTCTAAAGATTTTAAGCCTGTACTTTGAAAGTGTCTTTTAAAATGATCAGTAATTATATAAATGTATGTTTCAAGAACTATTACCTTGAGCATAGCTATAGAATATAGTATCCTATGGAATGCTAAAAGTAAATCTGAATAAAGATAGGGTATTTTCTTCATGAGGACAGGGAGGTATTGAAATGATTTTTGATAAAGATATTTCAAAAGCACCAAAAACTGTAAACAATGGTTCGGTTGGTAACAGCCATTTTCTGACAGTGACATTTTGTGGAAGATTTTCTTCCTTTGAAAGTCTAAACACAAGACTGAAAACAAACAACAAATATAATCCTAATGTTTATTTATCAAATTTCATCAGTGGAGTCTTCGACTGGCTTTTGAAGTCAGGGCAGTTCATTTTCCTGGCATACTTGGCAAACCATGTAAGTAGTACAGAAACCTTTGTCAAGATTTTCAAAAGCAGGCAACATGGTCAGCACTCAGTACATGAATATATAATACATTCTATTGAAAATCTTCCCACATCATGAAAATTTGGAGGTAATTAGTATAGTTTGAAATGTCTTCATTTTAGAATGTTACGCACAAAAAGGGCGTTATCAACAACAGAAAAGTGGCATGTGTGTGTTCAGACTACAGTTTACAACACAACTGGCTTATGTTACATTAAGTAAATTGTACTTTAGGCTCCAGAGTATGCGGGGCATAAAACCTGATTAAAGTTTTATATGACAAAAACCCCAATAAATGTTTTTTTCAATAAATGGCTTATCCGTGTTCCCAGATTCAGTCTAATCATCCAAGAAGAAGTAGTTTCCACTCTTCTTTTGTTCAACATCCTAAAAAATAAAAAAGAGAAGCAACAAGAGTCAACACAGCTCTCCTCCACGCAGGGGCAGACTCGGTGTCACCCAGCGGCAGTCACACAGATATCTGCTGTGCTGTCTGCTTCTGCACAGCCCTCTGCCCACAAGAAGGTGGCACTGCCATCTCGGCTGCCTCCCTCAACTGTCGGGACACTTCTCTCGGTTCCCTTCAAGCAACGCCCCTTTTCTATAAAATGCCTTACCCATGTAAAATGCTGCTATGTAACATACTATTTCTAGGAAAGCTATTCAATTCCATTTTCATCATTTTAACTTGAAGCTCCTGGTACAAATGGTCCATACTGTCAGTTGGACAATGGTCTATTACACAAAACATGTAAGAATTTTCCCCCAGTACTGTTTACTGAGTGGCCAGTAATGATCCAGCCACCTGTTTACCTATGACTGAGAGGAGTGGGCACAGAGAACTGAACCATGAACTTCTGCACTAACAAAAAAGTAGAAAGTATTCATAACACTTCACAAGAAATTCTTAGGGAAATTAAACTGCATGTGTTCTAGAATTTAGACCCTCTTTTCTGCTTCATGTTTTCCAAAAATGAGAAAACTCTTCATCACTTAAGTCAGAACCTGTCATTTCATTATCCAGGCCAGTGACAAGATAACATGGCAGGCTACAGGCATCCGGAAGTCACGTTAGGTGCTTGGGGGCACGTGACATGCACAGTGATTTTGTCTCTGCTGTCCAGAACTCGAGTTTTAGTCACAAAGATAAGGGAGTAGAGATTAGTAAAACCGACGAAACGCCATCCAGTGTGCTGTAAACACACTTCTAAAGCAGTAATTACGGCCACAATGGCCAGAGGACCGTCGCGTGTAAGCAGCACTTTCAGGAGGTGCTGCAGGGGTATAAAAACGTAGTTCTTCAGAGTTCTTTCACTTTGAGCGACCAAGAGATAGATAAATACAACCAATATTTCACAGGCTACATCTCATGTAGGGCACACAATTACTTTCATATACCACAAAGAAAAACTGACAAAATGTATTTTTATTGTTCAGAGCTTTATGCTCATTGAAGGAGCCTGTTTAGACTCTCAAAATACACATTTTAATCATGTTGCTCTTGTACATGAACACAAAAATACGAGAAATTGATTAAGGTATTCATAAAAACTTATTTCAATGGCGAATTAGTGTAATCTTTCTGAAAAGTAAGTGGCAATAACAAGGTGGCATAACAGTGTACAACTCAGACAACATGAACGCCTCTGCCACTCACTGTTCAGGCAGTGATGGCAGCTCCATCGCAGTGGCCGCCTGCCAGGCCTAACTAAGCCACCAGATTAAAATCCAGATTTTAATGAGACAGCCTTCCAATCTGAAACAGACCTTTCAATTACTTACATCGAGGAGTTACCTATGATTTGAGATACTTTTTCTACATACCTTAATGGAATTGAGTTTGTTTATTCTCGGCCTATAGTTGTTTGGATCTCTTCTGAACGTAATTTCAAGTTGAGATAAAAATTTATTCATGCCAGCCAAAAGGGTTTGAGGACTAGAATAAAAATAAGGATCAGCCGTGATTAAATTTACCCCTTAAATTTAACTACTTTTTGGGAAAGAGTATTAAGAATCCCCATTCCCTTTAATTCCCCAATCATAAATCATCTGGGCAGTAATATAATTGCAACAGACTATAAACTCTATGTTCAGAAATGTCTTTATGTGGACTAGTTTGGCTATAATATTTTTGTGCAAAACACACAGTTTAACGTGTTTCTGATCTGTCTGCAACAGGAGGAAACACTTAAGAAGAAAGTATTACTTTAGAACAACAAAAGGTCATTAATTAAAAATACAGAATTTCAAATTTGACATTTTTAGGGGAGAAGAATTTAACAGGAAAGGTAATATTTACATTAGAAGTTAGGCACTGGAGGGAGTATGTATAATGGTTTTTAGTAAGAACTTTTAAAGTTTCTATGCCTTACTCATCTTACATCATGCTAAATCACATCATACACATGGAACATTTTAAGCACTTTATAAATACAAAGGGAGGATCATTATTTCAATAAATAAGCTTTTATGGCCTAAGAAATTCCCCTAACTCTCAAATACATAATTTTTAGTTATTGATATATACATTTAAAATGAATTCTGGGAGGTTCAATAGTTATATTTCATCAATGAATTACTCCAATAGCAACTCCATTCCTCCCTAATACCAAAAAACATTATGTTAGAATCACATAAAATTACTGTATAGGTCAGAAGTTGTTGAACATAGTAATTTCATATAGTTCAACCCAATATAAAGTTTTAGCACTAAAAGTTTAAGAGGTTTTTTCATAAACTGATTTGAACACTAGGCTTCTCTACATTAGAACTGCTCTCAATCAAGCCAGTAACAAAAAAGATGAGAGGAAAAGGGGGGAAGGTGGAGTCACTCCTAGCTGCGCTGTGACCAGCACCAGACAGTGGGTCTACTACTGTAACCTATGTGGTTATCTGTCGTATATGACATCTAATTTTTAATCTATAGTCCTAATGTGTTTTGGAAATCCTAATCATGCCGACAACGTTAATTTAAAAGAAAAGGTGGGGGACCCAGAACTCCGTATGCTCATCACCCTGGGCTGGGAGGTCTACACTGTAGCCTGAAAACTAGTCTACCATGTCCCATCCCGGATTCCACACAAATAAGCTCAGAAGTTGCAGAATAATTTCTAGAATTTCTAGCTATCTCTTTCTGTCTTAAAATGGTATTGAGTAGTGTTTATAAGCTTATGGAAAACTGTAAGTAACTTTCTAATTGTTAGAAGCTATAGTTAGGTTGAATATTTCAGAAAGTGGTCTTACCTGTTTGCTACTGTGTTTTTAGATGGCACACCGTCGAAAACAATGACTCGATCTGCTAGGTAGGTGGCCATGATGAAGTCATGCTCTACCACAAAGGCTGTCTTCTTGGCGTGGAGTATGAAACTAAAACACACAATTTTGAAATTTTTGTAGCTTCATATCATCAAGTATTCAAATGCTATTTTAAGCACAGCTGTATGCCGGTACACAAAATCAAAAGTAACCCTCTTGTGAGCAGGCCATTACCGTTTGACAACTCGGGCTGCCATCAATCTTTGCTCAGAATCCAAATATGCAGACGGTTCATCAATTAAATAGACGTCAGCAGGTTTGCCCAAACAAAGAGCTAAAGCTACTCGCTGCAGTTCGCCACCAGATAACGTCTGCACCTATTTGGAGAAGCTGTTTAGCAAATCCTATAGAGACATCCAGTTTAAAATAAAGTCACAAAAATATTAGAATACCTCTTGATCAATGATGTTTTCAATTTGCAGAGGCTTCATCACATCAGTCACAAACTGTGGATGAGTATAAGCATCTCGTATCTTTTCATGTAGTAACTGTCGAACACTTCCCTGTTTTTAATGGGAAAATACTGAAATTTTATTTCAGTACTGAACTAATCTAGTTATAAATCATAACAAAGTTAAGTTCCAGAGCAAAAGTATATCAATTTGCCACCAACAAATACTAACAGTGTTTTTATGCTTATCTTTTATCTGTGGCATATTCTGAAAATTTAATTAAAAATCCATCATGTCCAACAGGTAAAAAAGGCAATAATTTGGACAATTGAAAGTAGTAAATGAATGTTTCAGGGTAGAAGTGATTTCAGAGTAGTAACAATTCTCAAGGTTCAGTGTGAGTATCATGTCATTAGTAAGAGAACACAAACTGATAGGGATGACTCTTAAGATGCCTACTGATTGTTATTCCAGGAGAGGTCTGAGTTTGAGAACCTAAAAACTAAGCTTACAGAAAGTATCAATGATGCCCTGGCCAGGTAGCTCAGATAGTCAGAACACTGTCTCCACACTCCAGGGCTGTGGGTTCAGTTGTCAGTGGAACAACAAATCGATGTTTCTCTTTCTCTCTCCCTTCCTCTCTAAAAGCCAGTAAAAATTAAAAGAAAGTATCAATGATAAAATTTTTATTGTAAGTACAGCCATCTCCAATAGACCTGAATATTGAGGTGCTGAGTATAATAGGTACAGTAGTGGGTAAGTTTGTTACAACACTGGCAGAAACCAAAGATTAACTTCATGTTTTCAAGGTTCATCCGTATTGTAACATGTATCAGTATTTATTTTTATGGCTGAATAATATTCAGCTTTATGTATACACAGTGTTTGTCCATTCATCGGTTGACTGACATTTGGGTTGTTTTCCACATTTTGGCTATTAACGAATAATGCATTTGTGTGCAAGTTTCTGTGTTGAGATAGTCTTCATTTCTCTTGGGTACTATCTAGTAATAGAAATGCTGATTCTTAAGTAACTATGTTTACCTGTTTGAGGAAGTGTTCTTCCAAGTGGCTGCACCACTTACACACCAGCGATGTATGAGGTTCTATACGTCTACATCTCACCAATAGTTACTGTTCATTTTGAGTGAAGTCATCCCAGTGTGTCTGAGGTGGTGATCTCACTGTGGCTTAGATTTGCATTTCTCTAATGACTAAGGACGCTGAGCATCGTTTAATGTGCTTACTGAACATTTGTGTATCATCTTTGGAAAAATGTCTATTCAAATCCTTTGCCCATTTTAAAATTCTTATTTATTTACTTATTTTTAAAAATTTTATTTATTCATTTTCAGAGAGAGGGGAAGAGAAGCTGAGAGGAAGAGAAACATCAGTGTGTGGTTGCCACTCATGCACCCCGTACTGGGGACCTGGTCTGCAACCCAGGCCTGTGCCCTGACTGGGAATCAAACCAGCAACCCTGCCCTGGCCCATGTGGCTCAGTGGGTTGGGTATTGTCCCCCAAAGTGAAGGGCCACAAGTTCGATTCCCCATCAGGGCACATGCCTGGGTTGCAGGTTTGGTCCCAGGTCGGGGCGTGTAGGAGGGGCAGCCAATCAGTGTTTGTCTTGCACATGGATGTTTCTCGCCCTCTCTTTTTCCCTCCCTTCCCCTCTAAAAAATAAATAGTATTAAAAAAAACAAAAACAAAACCCAGCAACTCTTTGGTTTGTAGTCCACCCTCAATCCACTGAGCTACAAAAGCCAGGGCCTTTGCCCGTTTTTATCTATCTATCTATCTATCTATCTATCTATCTATCTATCTATCTATCTATCAAGATTTTATTTATCTTTAGAGAGGAAGGGAAGGAGAGAGGGAGAGAAGCATCAATGTAGGTTGCCTCTCGTGCATCCCCTGCTAGGAACTGGCCTGCAACCCAGGCCTGTGCCCTGACTGGGAATTCAATCACAATTGTTTGGTTCGCAGGCCTGAACTCAATCCACTAAGCTACACCAGCCAGGGCTCTTTGCCCGTTTTTAAATGGAGTTGTAAGAAATCTTTATATATTCTAGAGATGAGTACCTCATTATATGAGGCATCCCCTCCTGTGGGTGGCCATCTGTTTCTTTTTTTTCAACCTCACCCCGGGATATTTTTTTTCATTGCTTAGAGAGGGGGAGTGGGGAGAAAGAAATACAGATTTGAGGGAGAAACATTGACTGGTTGCCTTCTGCATGTACCCTGGCAACCAAAGACTGAACTTGCAATCTAGGTGTGTGCCCTGAGCAGGGATCAGACCTGCAGCCTTCTGGTGTACGGGACAATGCTCCAACCAACTGAGCCCCCTTTTACTTTCTTGATTTTTTTTTTTTTAAACAGCCCAAAGCACATATTTCAAAGGTTCATTTTGGACAAATATACCTATCAGGTTTGAAAAGCATTTTTCCAGTAGTGGAAATGAATGCCTTCTTAATACCTTCCTTTTTCTGTCTTAAGATTTTGTTTATTTTCAGAGGAAAAAGGAGGAATTGAGGGAGAGAAACTAAGTCAGTTGCTTCTCACACACGCCCAACTGGGGACCTGGCCCCAACCCAGGCATGTGCCCTGACAGGGAACCAAACCTGCGACCTTTCAGTTCTCAGGCCAGCCCTCAACCCACTGAGCCACACCAGCCAGGGCATAACACCTTCTTTAGCCGCTTACTGATAAAACTGGACAGAAACTAATTGGAGAAGAATTTTGAAATAGTAAAAGATTCAAGTTATAGGTATATACGTATATACATATAAACTTTAATAACCAAGTAACAGAATAACTCACAGTTGACTTGGGACTGATTTTCTGTGGCTTATAACTGACATTTAAAACCGGTACTTCTCCTGAAAAATAATACAAATAAATAAGACACAGACAATGCCCAGATCTTTAATGTTCACTATACGTGGAACAGAGTACAGTAACTCAAAACTACAACAGTACCTCCTTCATCAGGTTTAAGTCTCCCAGCGAGCATTCTGATAAATGTCGTTTTACCAGTACCTGGCAACACAACATAAAACAAGTCAACCTGAAAGCTGCTTTACAGTTTAGAGTAAATCACCACATACTACTGGGGTGTAATTGAGATGATTAACCTATCAACATCATTCTAAAGTAATCAGGAGGAATATAAACTAGTTAAAGCTTATAATGACCATTTTAATAAATGACAAAAATAAGGCTCATACTACTTTTTAAAAGACATATTTAGCTAAAATGTCAATGCACACAATTTAAGATAGAATATGATTGATACCATCACTAAAAGTCCATTTACATGAAATAGTTGAGTTAACTGCAACCCAGCTCAAAACCCCTCCATTAACTAAAGGCTGATATATTGCAACAATCCTCATAAAAAAGTTTTCTTCTGCACCTTTGTAAGCTGTAAGTATACAATTCAAACATTTTTTAGTATCATGAAAGTAATACCAGGCATTTGGTACTCAAATTCATCTCATATTTATGATGGCAACCTCATAAAAATGCTGGTGATATAACTATTTGCAGAGGTAGACTAGTTTGAATTTAAAGGAAGAAAAGCTCCAAAAGAAATAGTGCAAGAAAATTTTAAACATAATTGCTTCTGAACTACTAATATTCTTTCCTCCTTCTCAGTATCATATATGAATAAATGCACTGTCATTTTATACACAGAAAAAAAAAAGACTTTAAAAAGCCTTATTTTTACTGAAGGTTATGAAACAAAGAAATACGAACTTGATTGAAGGACAGACTAAATCATACAATGTCACAAAATATGAACTACTGAATACAGTGAGAAATGTATGGGTTCAGGCCAGCTCTCGGACCTGTAACTGGGTCCAACTTTTTCACAGAGTAGTTAAAACTAAGGTACTAGATAAATAGAACAGATGCTCAACTACCACAAAATCAGAAAAACTGACCGTTTTCCCCCAACATCACCATGATTTCGGAATCTGTAAACTCTCCAGCTATAATCCCCAGCTCAAACTCTCCCATCTTCTTCCTCATCCCAGGGTATTTGTACATGCACATCTTTTTAACTTCTTCTTCATTTGCTGTCTCAGCCACTTTGAAAACAAGTGACGCATCTCTGAATCTCAAGTTTTCTGTTGGGACGTAGCCATCCAAAAAAATGTTTATGCCTATTGAAAATTTATTAACAATAGATTAGTAAAGATCAGTTAAAGACTACATTTTTTTCTACAGCAAGAAACTATTATTACATAAAAGCTCAAACCCTGGGCTCTCTCGGGAGCATTCTAAGCAGATTTAAGTTTCTGTGGGTTTACAACATGCAGTGACAACATCGTGTTTTACATGCCTAATGAAAGTTTAAAGAACTCATGCATATGTATGTGCCTAGTACACACACACAAAGCACATCCTTTCATTACGACGTGATTTGTAGAAGATTTCCCCCGTCAGGTTTAGTGCAAAAGCATATGATGCCATTTCTACTGGTTTTTAAGTCAAAAGTTGCCATTTTTCTCTACAAATGACTATCAAAGTGGAATATTTTCATGGATTAGACATATAATGATATAAAATAGTTTGGGAAATAATTTTAGATTATGAGTATTCATTTTCACACGAATACTCATAATCTATAAACATACACTGAAGTTAGAATTTACTGCATTTCCCCCCAATTATTTTTGCAGGTTTGTAAGAAATTTATAATAATGAATTATCCCCATTATCCAAAGTTAAACCCCATTATCCAAAGAGGTTTTTAAAACTGAAAATAAGCTAACATATTATACATGAGAATCTCTGCATACTCATGTTGGTAAGATTCATAATGGCAGACACACAGAAATGAAAAAAGTGGATTATTTGGGAAACAAGGAAAAGATCTATTTTTCAGTGTTTCCTATAAGTGAGAAGTGAGAGAAAGACAGTAGCTGCAGTTCTGGAAGGTCCTGAAAGGAAGCCTGAGAATGTGGTCTGTGTCTCTGGACCCGGCAACCACATCAGGGCCCGTATGCTCCACCTCAATCACAGGCACTCAACAAATATTTGCTGACAGAACAAATGAATGGATACATTTATTCTGCCAAAAGCAGCATTTAAAAAAAACTTAAACTATTTAAAAACTATAAATGTGGTTAAAAAATTAAAACCAAAAATAAAGTAAAAACATAAACTTGAAGGAACCTTAGTGACCGTTTAGTTCAAGTGCATAATTTACCAGGTAAGGAAATGAAGACTCAAGAGAAACAAGGAACTTGGAACAAAACATTAATAAGTCAGCCTCTACATTGCTGCTGCAATGCTTGTCTTACTGCCTTTACCATTCAAAGAGAGCTTTTCTATATCCTACACTAATTTCAGCATGTTAAAGGAAAGCGAAAAGATTAAGTGGTTTGTTACCTGAATTGTTCTAACAGATAAGGCACATTCGAAACCTCACCAGGAACTATATCTCCTTGATGGCAGAGCCTTTACACATGGTGTTTATTACTGAAAAGGCGAAGAGTGGGTGCCAGGTACCACATGATTACCAATGCGATTCTGGCACTATTACTATTGTGTGGCACAGAGAAGGCACTCACGACTACTGTAAAGAAAACTGAGCAATCTCACAAATTTTTCCTTAATATATGCATCTATTTATCTCCAAACACAAGAAGTGACAGCAAATCCTCTCCCAAATCTTAAACTAAAATATTACATACTTTTATAAAAGCTACTGCTGTCTTTTTATGTAAAACATATAATGCAATGTAAATTTCATTTTCCAACAGTGTCGCCGGTATCTCAAAAACCATTGTTTATAGAATATGGTATTTTTTTCAAGATATGAACTAAATCATCCTTTCATGTATTCTAGATTGTCAGCTTAAGGCACAGCCAAAGAGAAGAAACGTAAAGTAATTAAATGAAAAAAGGCTGCAGGTGGAGAGGGCACTGATGCCAGGTCAGGAGCCACTTAGTGGCCTGACTGGCGGAGGCAGGGAAGGGCTGGGAAAAGGGAGGCTAGAGGGTCCCTCTCCCGACAGTAGAAGGAATACAGAAAAGACACACTCACTAAGCCGTTTTACCAAACTCTGTCACTTACTAAATCGTAACATATACTCACTAAGCTATCTTATTAGACTTTTAGGCAGTCTTAGTTCTGTAACCTAGGATAGATAATAGATAAATTTGAAACAAGATAAGCAGTAAGTGAATTTAAGAGTTTTACTACTGGAAATGGCCTGTCACAGATGAAGTTGAAGATGATAAATAATACAATGATTCTACAGAAGCCAAAATCTAAAAGAAACTTGCAATATAGCAAAACATAGCAAATAAACAGTAAAACTGAAAAAGCATTTCTACCTACCCAAGCAGAAACTTCTACAAAGAAATAGGTTGTATATAACAAGTGATAAATATAACCATATGTACCATACATATTCCATTGAGTGATTAAATTCCACGAGACCAGAGTTTTAGATAAATATTAGAGCAACACAGTGACTTAATATCAACAACATATTTTCTAAGCATTAGAGTAAAAGGGAACACAGCATTGTGAAAATTTCGCAAGTTACCTTCTCTTACACTAAAAGGCATAGTGACAACACCGTAGGCACTTGGCACGCCATATAAACAGCAGATGAAGTCAGAGAGATAATCTAAGACACTTAGATCATGCTCCACCACAATGATATATCTGAAAATTAATACAAATTTAAAATGTAACAATGTACATGAAATAATTAAAATTATATTTAACTGTAATGGCTATATAACTTTACTACAGTGTAAATTCAGGAAAATAGATTTTTTTAAAGTGTGCATAAAGAGCATATTAAACAAAAGCCATGAAATATTTTCTTTTAATAATATTCTATCAATGCTCATATTCCAAACTGGTGCCCTCAACTAAAAGAAAAGTTAACGTGAAATGGTTTCTGGATATAAAAAATGTGTTTTGCTAATAAACATATTTTAAATGAATTGTACAAAGTAGAAACAAAGAGATTTAAATCAGATGTAGCGTACACTGTTTGACTACGCCCTTCAGCTTACCCGTTCAGCCATCCCACCTGGCCTACGCTAGCTGCAGCGGGGGGTGCACGGAGCCCTTCAGTCAGGAATTTTCAGTGTGGCTCTCAGTTCCCAATGAAACAAGTCACATCCTTAGACTTTCTTTAAAGACCTTCCAAAACTCAAGCTACTATTTTTACTTCATTTACATATAGGACACACTGAAAAATGGATCTTTCATTACTTCCTAAACAATCCACTTTTCCATTATGTGTCTCAGGGTATTCTATTTCCTAAAAAGTCTCCTGCCCACGTCCTTACCTGGAGAATCCTCCCTACCACCTCAAGCCCTAACTTCTGTAGGACCACGCTTCCTAACGGTCAAATGACTTTCCCCTCAATTCTGAACCTCTGTCACTGATCCAATACTTGGACTTTCCGAGTGCTCTGCACCTTGCCCCCAAACACCTTGAAGACAGACGGCAATGTGCATCTCTATGATCTTCAGTCCTGGGCTATGTACCAAACAGTTATTCAATTTGGCTGTTGTGTGACAAGATGAGGAATTCTGACTCACGTTAGCTGGCAATGGGGAAAATGGTAGGTTCTTACACAGCACTGTCCAGTAGAACTTTCCCTGACTATGGAAATGTTCTATCTCTGTGTTGTCCCATATGGTACCAAGTAACTACATGGAATATGGAGCAGCACTTAGAATGTGATTAGTATGATTAAAGAAACGAATTTTTTTTCCCCAAGCGACTATGAGGATATTTACTAAAGCTGGGGACAGTGAAACAAGGTAGGGCTCAGCATGGAAGCAGCCACAGGAGAGCCTAGGCTGGGCAGCTTTAGCTCACCCGAGTCAGAGAAAAGGGAGCTTCACAGACAGGTTTAGGGGATGAGCCCCCGACAAACTGCCAGCTGGCTGCCCAGTGTCTGAGAGCAGTCAAACTCATCTGGGTGTCACACTCACTGGGTGTCAAACTCATTTTCACTGGGGGGTCACATCAGCCTTGCAGTTGCCTTCAAAGGGCCGAATGTAACTTCACGGCTGTATGAATGTTAACTACTCCTTAACAGTTAAGCATGAGCTTGGTGCTGCTGCTGGGTAGAAACAAGGTGGAGGGCCGGATTCGGCCCTTGAACCTTGCATTTGCCACCTGTGCCTTAAAGTTTAGGAGACACGTGCCTGTGAGGAAAGAAGTGGGGGAAGAAGAAACAAAGAAATGGTGAGGGCTGCTCCCCAGAGGGAGAGCACTAAACGAATTTTAAATTTCAATTAAAATAAAAATTGCAAATTACAGCTAGAGGCTAATGTATATAGTTCTAGAATAAAAAAAATGATATGAAAAAACATTTCAGGAAGATTAATCTGGGAAGAAGAACCATAGACTTATTCAAGGAAGCAACCACAGTAATCTAGGTGTTAGGTAGTAAAACTAAGAATGAAAAAAGGGGTGGGAAAATTTAATATGAAGAGTAAATGTAGTGGTGAGTCAGTACTCCTCCTGCCCTGTGTCTCTGCTGGCAATTTTCCATTATCTAGAATAATTCTCTACTTTTTACCATTAAAAGCGTCAAGACCCAATATAGGGCAGTATGGCATCATCTATCTAATGGCTTGTAATTTACTTTCAAAAGAAAAAACAAAAACAGGTCAAACTTCCTGCTTTCCCTATTTTCAGATGAAGCTTGTGCGTCCAAAATGTACAAAAAGACTAAGGAGAGTCACTCACTGTTTTTTTGAGAGTTTGGGAAACAGAAATCTGCAGCATAATGAGAAATCTATACTATGAAAATTAATCAATCAATTATTTGTTTACCCTACAATTAATTTGTTTACCTTTTAGTTTTTATTCTTAATGAAGATGTTTTTAGAGGTCAAATTCTAGAGAATCTCTTGGATTTATTTTTCCTTTCTCCAATCCATTCCATTTCTTGTTGTTTATCCAAGGATATGATTTCCAAAATCTTTGTAAACGATCGAAGACCAAATGTGTCATAGAATTTTAGGGTGCAGATACACCTCTTGGAAGTTTTTATCATTTTATCGCTAGAGAGATTATTTTAACTCTACACCTAAGATGGATTAGCACATATGTGAAAACGTCTAACTCAATCATTTTCTTCACTTTGTCAATATAATGTGTTTTGACACGTTACACCTATTACAATTAAGGCTATTTGCCTTCTCATCACATAGGACTGTAGTAACTTGCTTATTTCCAAATTGAGATACATGTCACCTGGTTGTAAATCATTATCCCTTTCATTCTCTTTTTTATTACGGTAAGGACATTATTATTTTTTTAACGTATTTATTTATTTATTTATTTATTTATAGAGATAGGGGAAGGGAAGGAGAAAGAGTGGGAGAGAAACATCAATGTACGGTTGCTTCTCATGTGTCCCCTGCTGGGAACTGGCCTGCATGCAACCCAGGCATATGCCCTGACTGGGAACCAAACCAGTGACCCTTTGCTTCACAGGCCTGTGCTCAACCACTGAACTACACCAATCAGGGCTGTTTAGGACATTATTTATATATTTTTTAAAAATTACGTGTGAAGGTAGATTGTTTATGACTTGCAGGCAGGCACTCAGTACAATAAAGAAGTGTAAAATGTTATAAAAGGGAGCTAGGGTTTAGCACTATTGATTTGACTGCTTGTGTATTCTTAAAAATATTTTTTTACAGAGAGAGAAAAAGATCCATTTGTCCCATTTATTTATGCACTTACTGGCTGCTTCTCTTACGTGCCAACAACCCTGGTGTATCAGGATGCTCCAACCAATTCAGCCACCTGGCTAGGGCCGCTTGTGTATTCTTTTCTCACCAGATCGTGAAGTCCTTGAATGGTGAGACTACATTGTATACGCTTGCATTCCCCACAGAGCCTGTCATAATGCCTAGGACTGTGTATACAATAAAAACGACAGCTATTTGGCCCAAATGAGATTGTTTATCGTAGATATTCTAAAGATTCTAAGTTGGAAAGTTACTATGAGGCTCAAATGAGGTAATGGATTTAAATACTCTGCAAACTATAACAGCACTCAGTAAGACAGGTTTTGTGATTACTTAACAGAGGCTGAGAACTCTCCTGTGCTTATTAAGACCCTAACAACTGGAATTATTCTGGTGATCCTTATGTTTCTACATTTTGTGTGTGTTTGAGTGACATACCCATCTGAGGACCTGGGAAACCCTAAGGATCTGCTTCCCCGAAACCCATTCATATCCCCCAGAATTTGCTTGTTATTTCAGAGTATTGGTAGTTCCTTGGAGACAGGCATGTCAGTGAATGAATCTTTCTTTAAGAGCCTATGTTCTAGCCCTGAATGGTGTGGCTCAGTGGGCTGGGTGTGGTCCCACAACGTGAAAGGTCACCAGTTCGATTCCTGGTCGGGGCACATGCCTGTGCTGTTGGTTTAGTCCCTGATCAGGGCGTGTCCAAGAGGCAACCTATTGATGTTTCTCTCCCTCTTTCTTCCTCCCTTCTCCTCTCTCTAAAACTAAATAAAGTCTTTTTTAAAAAAGCCAACATGGAAAACATGCACACGCATATGACATCGATGGCTCCAGTGTTTAATCTTTAGGAATCTGTCAAACCCCTGGAATGAAATAACACAGGCACATGCCTAGTGTGCGCTCACCTATCTGGGTTTATTAGAGACCGGATGGTGATGGCAGCCTTCAAACGCTGCTTGACGTCCAGGTAACTAGAAGGCTCATCAAACATGAAACTGTGAGAAAGGAAAACAAATATAATGAAAGGCAAACATGACATAAATCTACCTTGCAAATTTCAAAGCACTGTTATGTAGTCTACATTTGAACAACAAAAATCCCCTTATCATAATGGTAATGGTAATAAGTATTTACCATTACCACCCTGTAATGGTAAATACTTCTGTGCTTTGTTCAGAAGTAGAAAAGAAATAATGAAAAGCACATCAAGGACTGCACATCAAATGTAAAGAGATACTCCCAGAGGAGGCTAACTTACAAACTCTCTCCTGCTTATGAAAAATGTTCTGTTATGGCTAAGGTCAGGTGCATGAAAGCAAATAGCTTCTGGAATGGAGGGCCATGCACAGAATTGTAGAGTGCATTGTGAGAAGAGCTAGCCTGCTCTGGATGCCGGAGCAGAAACACGGAAGCCAGGAGCCATGCACGTGTGGGGGAGAAGGGCGGCACTGGCAGGCAGGAAGGAGACCCGCCCTCCCATGCCCCCGTGGCATGCCACCCTGCTTTAGAGGAACCCAAGGGACCTCACGTTCCACCTGAGGTGTTGGAAAAACTTGCTGGCATTGTTGGAGAACTTGCACCCTAAAAATATTCTTACATACAGTTTAAATAATAAACAACCAACTTTACATTAAAAAGCTCTGGACCCCAACAGTTGTAAAGTACTTAACGAAATAAATTAATTTCTCCTCCTGGAGGAGTAACACGGCAGACTGGCAGTGGGTGTACAACTGCTTCAACACCTTACCTCAAAATTAGAATCTTAGACACTGTGTGTACTAATTTATCCCCAAACCACTGCTCTATTAGCAGTGTTACAAATAAAAACTCTCAAGTAAGGATTGAGATCCATAAAAGCTGTAAAGTAACCTACATATCAGCTTTCTGTATGCAAACGACAGCACAAGCAAATCTCTGCAGTTCTCCTCCTGAAAGATCTTCAACATTTCGCTCTTTTAGATGGGTTAAATCTACAAAGAACACAGAAGCATTATGTTTAAGGTTGTAAGTTTTATTTCACCCCCACTAAGCAAATGTATATTGCAGGTCATTCTGGGTTTGAATATTTCAGCTGAAAACTGTGCAACATAAAAAGTAAGGATGACAACTACCAGAGATTTTCCCATTTATTTCATTAATCCATATAAAGACGTTTATTTTATGATCAAAGTTTAGGGCCTATTAAAACACACACACAAAATAAACACGTACCAAGTTGTTGACATACAATTGCTTGTGTCTTTGTTTCATCCTTTCGGTCCAAAATGGACCCCACTGTCCCCTGTCGTGATGCACCAGAAACAGTCATTACTGCACTCCTCCAAGGTTAAAATTACATTCAATGTTACCTCAATATTTCCTTCAATGTTAAAAAGTTACAAAGTAGGACAAATTTAATTTGGTACATCTTTTATACCTCCACTGATATCTATAAAACATAAATTCTTCCTAAAAAGCAACTAACCTTTGCAGCCTTGGGAATCTGGTCTACATATTGAGGTTTGATGATAGCTTTTAGGTCATCTTCTAGAATCTTAGTAAAGTAATTTTGCAATTCAGATCCACGGAAGTAAGTCAAAATTTCTTGCCAATCAGGTGGATCCTAGAAATACATGTATAATCTGAATTTAACTTTTTAAAAGATTTTATTTTATTTTTAGAGAAAGGGAGGGAGAAAAACATCAATGTATAGTTGCCTCTCGCGTACCCCCAACTGAGGACCTGATTCACAACCCAGGCATGTGCCCCGACTGGGAATCGAACAGGTGATCTTTTGGTTGGCAGGCTAGTGCTCAATCTACTGAGCCACACCAGTCAGGGATGAATTTAATTTAATAACATAATTGCAAAGAGGATGACTGTTACACAAAATAGAACATGTGTCTGAATAGAATACTTTAGCTTCTAATAATCTTAAGATTGAAGATACAATTCCCAGTCAAGGCATGCCAACTTCTAACAGTTCAATGAAGCTCAGAATAACCAGTTAAGAAGCAGCAACAGAATTTAAAAAATTGATTTTTAGACACAGAGATAGACACATCAATTTATTCTTCTACTTATTCATGCATTCACTGATTGATTCTTGTATGTGCCCTGCTGGGGATCAAACCCACAACCTTGGCATATTGGGAAGGGATTCAACAGATTTTTAATTCAAAAAGAAATTTAATCTATATATAGTTTCTTAGCATTAATTTCACAGCTAATCCTGAAAATAACTTAAGGAGAAAATCACATGTACACTCTCTTCCATTTTTATAAGGTGGTAATACGTACATCGTACTTTCCAAGGTTTGGCTTTTGCTTTCCTGCTAATATTTTTAAAGCAGTTGATTTTCCAATACCATTAGTTCCAACTAATCCCAAAACTTCACCTGGACGAGGGATAGGCAACCTGTCAAAAGTATACAAAAATAATAAAATTCAGACTTAGGTTGAATAAACTACATAATATCAGAATGACATACTTTAATACACTTGCAATCCACACACATCCATTAAGCTAAAAGATATATGCAGACATTATTGACAATTAGGAAAAAAAAACCCAGCCAAGATTAATTTAAACTGTTAATTGTTAGAAATGCATCTATGACAATATTACTCTGTTTTATTTATTCAATTTTCATTCAAAGTCCATTGTAAAGTAACAATTCTTCTTTACATATATGGCTCCCTTTTAATGTATAACAAAATGCTCTGGTAAAAAATATCATAGCAGGTGCAACCTCACACTGCAGGTTGGGTTGGGTTTGGTTTGGTTTGGCCTGCCACTTACTTATAAGGAGAGAAGTGCCACATCAACCAGAAACATTCCACTTCATGCTCCCTGTTGCCGTGGGCCCCTTAAAGCTGGCAGGTTGAGAAATACCTTTTTATTAGTTAAATCTAGACTTCCAGATTCAAAATATTAGTGTTTAGCAGACTGAAAACCTAGAAGAACTCCTGTGATTTAACAATATATGCCCAAGTTCAGAGTAATATGCTCTGTAGGTCATTAAATTAATATATAAATAAAATTAGAGAAAATTTTCCTTAAAAGTCAACTTGGGAATAAAGGATATTGTTAACAATAGTGATTTGCAACCCCAACTACATATTAGAGTCATCTGGAGCTTTTGTAACTTCCCAGACTCTTCATCCACAGACACGATGTAATTCACCTGGGCTGAAACCTGGGCGTTACTGTTGTAAAAAACGCCCCCCTGGTAATCCCACTATTAGCCAGAGTAGACAACTGACGTGGAATTCAGCACGTTACAATACTGTATTTCTCTTCAGTGCATGGATAACACAACTTTTTTTTTTTCCAGTTTTGCATTTCTCTGAAAACCCCAAAGGTATTTTACTTTCAAATGAATTAAAGAGGAATGGTGACTTGAAAATATACCTGTGAAGTTTGAAGGCATTGGCACAGTATCGATGTGTTGTTTCTTTTTCCAAGTTGCTTGGTAAATTGACAATTGATAAGGCCCCGAAGGGGCATTTCTGTTATTAAAAGTAAAGAATTAATTTTGTGTTAATTTTTTGAAGTACACACATGACTAAAATGGAGATTAAAATTTTTTACAAACAATCTTCCAAATGTGGGAGTTGCACAAAGATGTAAAGTGTTTTTTCATTTACTTTTCTTTACTTAAAAACTGAAAGTTAAGTTCCTCGAAGGCAAGAGTCATCTTGACTAACTTTGCATTTCCTTAGAGACTGCCACAATCCTTAGACATTTACTGTGCAGTTAGTGCTTACTGAAAAACCTCAGAGCTGGGAGTTCTATACAGCCTGCAGGAGTATTTTTTACATGACTGGATAAGACAAGGCTGAGAGGCAAGACGAGACAGGGTTACTGAGTACTGTTTGGCTGCATATTCAGCCCATGACACATTCCTTCCCTCTACTTCTTTCTTCCTGTCTTTGGACACACTCGTATCTACCTGGTAAAGCTCTTTATGGTCAAGGACTGTTCATTTTTTTTTCTATTTATGCGCCAATAACAGCTAGTGTAACATCTGGGCAGAGCAGGGATTAATGTCTTTCTGCTGTGATTTTTAAAGCATCCCATATGAAAAAGATGCTTCATATTCCAACTGAGTAAATTCGCATTAATAAAAAAGACTTACTCATAGAAAAACTTATTTAAGTAACAGCTGCTTATCAATCAGATAAAAATGTCTATGGAACAAGAATGACAAGAACCGGAAGGTCATTTAAGATTAGTAATGTGGTTAGAAAAATTGATCAGAAGTACAGGTAAAAAAAGGTACATCCCAAAAGGCATAACCTCACACTTGAGATGCTTGGCAGAACTGTTCAATGAGCTCCAGGACCAATTCAAAAGTTACTGTATATAAAGATTTCAGAGACTTCCCATTTTATGTTACAAGAACATAGATAATTAAAAAAAATAAACAAAACTCTTGCTTTCTAACAAAGTAATTATTATCCTCTAACAGAGTCTAACCAAAACTATTAATTCTTTACATGAGATATTTTCTCCTAATACTTACCCTCATTTATAGAATTCTTTTTATTCTATCAACATATATAAAATGCTTATTTTATATATAGGCTGCAAATAAGTAACTTAAACTTCTCTAAATCTACAAGGAAAAAAATATCCATACTATTCATATACAAGGTACATTGTGAGTATCTTAATATTCAGAGGGTATATACTACCTCCACCCCAAAGAGACTCATCACATTAGCATCCAAATTTTGGACCCTCATATTTCTATAGCAGTGAAGAAAGAAAACAGTTCCTTCTTCACAGAATTAACAATATATTGTTCAAAATCAGTCCAGCACCCAGAACACTGTCATATGAGACATCAGTAAATGTTTCTTGGTTATGTTTTTGAAATAAGGGAAAATGCTTTCAGGTACCAAAATCTTTCTGGATACTTAACTACAGATTGAGAAACCAATAGGAGATACACATAACCCTTAGCAGAATGAGTGATATGGTGGTGCCCACACTCAGGTAAAGGTTTTCTCTGAACTACACCATCCACAAATACCTAAATTAAGACCTTCATTTACCACCTCCAAATATTTTTCATGAATTTAAGTTGGAAAGTTATCATTCTTAAGTCAAAAGCCCTAATCAAACTATACAATTAATGCAACAAAAACTATTTGGGGTATTTTGAAAAACTGCACTATTGGAATAAATTCAAGCAGAAAAAGCACTTCAAGATTAGGCTAAATTGAAAAATTTTGGCTATAAGCACTTCTATTTAAAAGATGTAAATTTAAAATTAAACACAGCCTTGAAAAAGTGTATGTAATATAACTCACATTTTTTTGAGATTCACATTTCCAAAAGGATCTGGGGAAGACATTGCTGGAGAATGTCCTCATAAAAGGGTGGAAAAAATATAATTTTGGTTTGAAATGCCTTTACAAAATTTAGTACGGCAAGGACTACTCTTAAATAAAAAGTTGGCTTACTTAAAAAGCAAAAATATTATATTACTGGTATAAGTACAATATTCTTAAATTTATATTCTTGGTTCATTGCTTTATATTTGTCTGTTTAAAAACAATTATACTATATCCAGAACTTTCAGATTACAGGTTTGATTAGTAATAAAGCATCACTTACCTTAATACAAATACCACAACCAATACAAAGAGTTTCAGAAATCCAAGCTATTTTGCTTTGGGGTGTAACCTCGATGCATAATTTTCCTGGCAAAGGAAAAGATATCTTATGAGGCAAGAGGGGGGGTGACTCTAGAATTGTGGCAGATCTTATTTTTAGGCTGACTGACCTAAATATTTAATTTACAAAATCTGCCTTGGAATGGTAATGTATACCAGACAAAAAAATGAAATATGTTAGCAAGATCAGTTAAGTTCTAAAAAGGTAAGCAGCCACCCGAATCACAGATTGAATTAAACTCTGTGTAAGAACAGGGATGTTAACAATGGAATTTCTCAACAGCACAACATGAGAGGTTGACACCTAGAGTGTCTTTTAAGATTCAATTAAGCCCAGACCTCACCATTACCTTTAACATAGTTCTAAAGACTACCAACAATTGAGCAATTCTGAACTGCTGTAAATTTATTTAATCTTGAACATACTGATAGTCCTTTCTCCATAACTTAAAAGTAATTATAGGATTTTGTAGAACAACAAGAATCTCAGTAACTGGAACTGTGGTTTGATTTTATATTCAATAAACTTTAAAAAATGTTGATACTATTACATTACCCTATAATTAAAAAAACAGAATCATATGGTCATAAAGCAATAAACAATTCAGAATAAAATCTAGTCTTCTCTTTTCATTTCAAAGAAACTAATGGCTAAAGTCCAGAGAACTCTGAAGCCAATGTGTTCCTTTTAAAATCTCTTATTCTTAAAAGATCCACAGACAGCTTACCCATTCGAACCACAGGGCAACTCTTTTTGCACTCCTGCCGACATTTCTTAGGTTTGCACTTGTCGTGGTTGACAATGGCAATCCTCGTTAATTTATCTGCCATAACTCTAGGTAGGAATATCCAGCTTCTATGAAAGAAAAATTTTTTAAATTATGGCATAATCAATGAAATTAACTGAGAAATAAACCAGGCATAAAACTTAGACAGGAGGACATAAATTTTCGCTGTATTCAGAAAAGATCATCTGGAACTAGTAAAAAAAACAGCAAAAGTAATAAAATAATGTAGTAAGGTTGGGAAAACAAAATATACCATCAATCAAAAAATTAACATATAGAAACCATTTTCAATATTCATACACAAAAAGATGTAGGAATCAACTTAAGACATACAAATGTGAGGCAACTTTCAAAATACTGCTGAGAAACACAGAAGACCCAACAAACAGACTGACGTGTTGTCTCAGGTTTTACAACAGAGAACAGGTAACACTGAGGGTCTGAGGGTTTCAGACCTGGGCTGACTTCCACCCTCTTTGACAACTCCTGCCGTAGTTTCTGGTTCAATACGTCCACGAACCTCTCTCCTCCAATGATCTGGTCTTTCACCCTGCCTCAGCCTCTCTTTCCTTCGGGCAAACCCTTGACCCTGTCATCACCAATACAGTTCCTCTTCACTAACCACCACTCTTATCTTGTCAGCTCACCATTCTCATACTTGACAATCCAGCTCTTTGAAGCCCCCCATTTCTCAGACCCACTACCACCATCTCTCAACTCTACCACATTTCCACTTTCTCTCAACCCTTCGCAGTTTTGTTTCCATCTGTGCCCAGCTAAAATTCCACTGTCAATCATTTATACCCTTAACTACAATCCCGGTTACATACAATTCTTCACCTGCACACATACAGCTGAAAATGGGTAGAGAAACCAAGCCATACTTCACCACCGTCATCTCAAGTGAACCCTTAGCCAACCAGCAACCGCACTGTCCATTTCCAGAGCCAAGTCCACGTGCACACTGAAAGATGCCCACGAGGAAGAATGTCCCAACAATCCTCCCTCTTGCCTTTCACAACATCAATTAGTCTTTCCACTGGCCCATTCCCTCCATATTCAAACCCTCTATTATCTGACCTCACCTTCCCTCAGTGCTTCACATCTTCTTTCTTTGGCAGCAAGACTAACTGAAAGAGTTGCCTAGAGTCACTTGTTCCGAATTTGTATTTTCTCTGGAATTCATTCCAAGCTTTAGTGAATATCATTCCATCAAAACAGCTTCTAACTTCATTACTCTAACAGCTTCCCAACAGATCTCTTTGCTTCTACTCTTACCTCCTGTTCCAACCCTTAACATCGACAGTTCCTATCTCAAGATAGGAGCCTGCATGTTCTCTTAATGTGAGCTAATTCATGCCACTCCTCTATTTTAAAATCCTGCAGTAGTTTCTCTACTGTGAATAAAAGCCTGAAAACCACCAATGAAGCACTGATCAGCCTCTGTTGACATTCTGAGCTCATCACCAACTACTCCAGCTGCTTATTTTGCCCACTGTATTGGTTCCTTGCTGTTCTTAGCACATGCCAGACATGTTCTTGCTTCCTGGTCTTGGCATTTTCTCTTCCCTCTGCCTGTAATGCTATTCACCCTAGTGAGTTACATGGCTTACTCCTTCAAGTCTTTGATGTTTATTTCTCAGTGAGCCTTCCTTCTCTACAACCAAAAAAATTATATCCAACTTCCTTTCTGTACCTCTTTCCTGTTTTATTTTTCTTCTTAGCTCTTTCCATTATGAAAGTTTATAGGTATTTCACATTGTATACACAGTACATATAAACATTTATCATATATGTTTTTATATATTCTTTCTCCCTCTACACACACACAAATATTTTTCCCTCCCCAGCTGGAATGTACTCCATCATGAGGGCAGGGATTTTTTTGCCATTTGTTTTTTCAGTGCCTAGCACATAGCAGGAGCTGAAGCATGTCGATAAAGATATACATTTAAATATAGTAAATAATTTTCCTATAGATTATAGCAACTTTAGAAACCTTTGAAGTTACCAATATTCCCTAGTGACAGTTACCCACTAATGTATATACAGAAAAAAAATCACCAAAAAAAGATGAAATAGTTATGTAATGAACAAAGTCATGTTAATGAAGAGGCTCACTTTAAGTCTTTAGTCTAAGACCAAAACTGATCTCATAAAGAAGAGGGAGACATGAAATTACATTTGAATTGCTCCAAAGAGCTATTGTTCTGGAAGCGACAACTGCCTAAAAAGTGAAGATTCTTTAGTCAGTTATTAAAATAAAAGCGGGCACCATACAAATTACCTGGTGAATGAGTGTAATGAATTCTCTAGGAGATAAATGTTTTATCTGGAAATTGCTTAAACTCTATATCAGCCAAACTACTAAAATTTCACCTAATATTTCAAGCCATTTTATAAACTGAGTGATTATAACGATTTTCATAGAAAAATAAAAATATACCAGAGATAGTTAATAAGATGATTTACATAAAACACAGATAAATTATTCCTGGGAACAGAGAGGGATTTGAAGATATTTCATATCTAAAAAACTGTGTCCAAAATAGGTACTCAAACAATGATCCTTGCTGTCATTATTCCAGTTGGGAGGGAAAATGGACATATATGAAAAGCATTTGCAGTCTAAGACCAAATTATCATAATACCAGGTAAAAACATTTAAAGATTACTGTTAATGAATGATGCTTGATATCACAATAAATATTTAACCTATGATTATACTGTAGATTATTAGTCTTATAAAACACCTAAGTTGGGAGTGGTAAATAACCCTCATTTCAGAGTCTTGAAGACATTTAGAAGGGACATTAAATATTGCTTTCATTTTTTGAAAAACCCCAGCTATTATATTACATGCTATTCCTAAAAAAAAATTTTATAGGGGAGAACAAGGTTTTTAACTAAAACAAAAGAAACCTTTTTGATTCAAATACACTATAACAGCCCTTGGTTAACACTGACAAAGCATTACTGTCAGGAAGCTGGTACGGAATGAAGTTTCGGTGTACGGAACACATGTACTGAGGACTGCAATGCAAACACCATTAACATTAATGCCTAGCTGGCTGTCCTGTGGAAGAGAGGGTTCAAGAAAAGTAAAACACTGCTTTGATAGTTCTAATTTTTATCGACTTAAAAGAGAGAGAGAGAGGTTTCTGTAGGTTTGGGATGTGGAACTCGGGCTTTGAGAGTCGTGACTACAATGCAGGAACGACTGGAGGGAAAATAAAGGCATTTTGAGTTAACACCACCCCTGATCTCACGGAGTTTAAAATATAATTAAGGGAGAGGGTATAGTCATCAAGGTGAAAAGTGCTGAATGCTATAAAAGCGCACCAAAAAGCTAAAAGCGTTCAACTGGGAGTTTATCTGGGGTAACCCCAGTTACAGCCGGGTCCACTTTGCTCCATGACAAAAGTAAAGCGAGGCCTGGCCCTCCTTTCTGTAAAAAATGGGAGTGAATGAGGAGTATTCAACTTCATGGCGTCAAGATGCGATGACTGATTTTATAGTCACCAAACGGCACAAGAAAAGGCCACTATCCCCCATAATCAAATACGCACATGTGAAAATATATCTATCTTACTCTGCTAGGGGAAGAATGGAGTTAATGAGGGGGTGCTGTAAATTGTGAAGGTGCCTTCCTCTGTACATGGTTCAACTCTAGGGTAGGAGCGGGGTAAAGGGGGGACTGGAAGTGGTGGAGGTAGCATCGTGGAGATGGCACCTAGGTCTGTTCTCGTAGCCTCTGATAGGGGAGGCGGGCAACAGCGGTTGCAAACCCGATCAGCTGGAGCGGAAGCGCGACGTGCAGTGCTCTCGCCCGAGCCGGCGTTCCGGCGGTTCCAGCTGTTCCATCCCACCCAAGCCAACTGCCACGCGCCGCTACCGTCCCTATCGCTGTCACCTGAGGCCTAATCACAGGTTCACAGAGAAGATGCCTACAATCTTTAAATCCTGGACGATCGGAGATAACGGCCAACCCCCTATTTACCTACCTGGAGAGAACAACCCCTTCGCGGAGGGGAGCGCAGAGGCCAAATCAGCTTTTGCCGTCACTTCGCAGCTTCACAACGTGTTCCTACGGCCTCCGGCCAAAATGGCGCTGCCCAGCCTCCGCCAGGCACACGCCAAAGGGACGTAGTGTGCGCATGAGACTAGGAGCTCCCGGTGCGACGGCAAGACCTGACGTCATTGTGGTGCGACGCCAATTCCCTCTTTGGGAAGCCGGGCAGTCGAGAGACTGAGTGGGAGTGGCGCGGAGTTGCATGGAAACCTAAAACCCTGAGCTGCGGCAAAGCCAGTTTGCAAGCTGTAAGTGCATGAGCTTTTCCCCGACGTGAAGGCTGGTTCTAGCGTAGGCAACGCACTCTTCCCCGGTATCAGTGTTTTTTCCGCTCCCTATTTCTTCAAGGCCTGTGCGTCAGGCGCCTTAGCCTTTGCACATGTGAGCACTTAACAGGTATGTCAAGCAGGATAGACAGAGTCTGGTCCAGACGCTGCTCGCGTTGGCGTTCCTTCTGTGACTTCATTTCCTCTCAACTCTGTGCCAACTCTGGGTTCCAGTCTTACACGAACTCCGTGTTTTATCCACTTCGTGGAGTCCAGTACGAAGTCCGGCAGTCGGATTTTGCTCCAGTGGAGAAATGGACTTTTTTTTTTTTTTTTTTGACGTTTTTGGACCCAACGTTCACTTTGTAATGCTGGTCAGAGGTTTAATTGTCTCATCCCAGACCTTACATAACTTTAAGGTGCTAAGTACTTTAGGGTGTGATTGAACTTATTTAGTCGTCCATTTATTCATTCAATAAATCGCTACTTGAGAATTTTGCAGTCCAGTGGCTCTACTACTATTTAGTGAGTATCTAAATGGGAATTAGGGAACAAATGAGATCTAATAGAAAGTGTCAAGGAGATATACAGAACTATGGGTCCAAGTTTATAACAGCAAGTGTAGCGATGTTTAGTAGCTCTAACTTCGCATTTCTGAGGCATTTTTACATATTGGTCACTATCCAAGAACTCTCTTTTTTCACGTTTGCATAGGCTTAACAAGATTGACTAACAAAAGATGTGAAAGATGCAGTAAACTTTTGGTTTAGAATAGGCCAGTAGGACCTTGAAGCCATTATTCTGACTTTGCCTTCTATGGTTAGAGTGCCTATCAGTGGAGCTTTTGACAACTAGTGGGGAAATGCTATTTTTCTCTGCATCACTTAAGGATTATTTAGACTGGAGACTAATATTCACATATTTCTGGAGTATTTCATTCTGAGTTTTCTAGGGAAAAACATGTCATTTGGAATTAAGAATTTTTACTCATAGAAGTATAGAACTGTATAGCATTATAGAATTGTAGCTCAAGTCAGGGAAGGAAATAAAGTCTTGACCTACCCAACGTCTAGGCCAGTTAAAGGAGAGACTGAAGCTAAAACCCTGGCTGTGTGCCCTTTGTCTACTGGACTCTGCTGCTGCTTTGTACATGATACATTTTAGAAACACAAACTGAATTCCCAAGGTTTTAAAAATGACAGTGGTTGAGTTATGTTTACTGCATTCGAGAATTAGATGATGAATATCAAGGGTATGTTGATCCATGTTGCTGTTAAACTTTTATTTTTACTTTTAGTAAAAAGGTACTGAGGTCCTGGTATAATGTGGGTATTCTTTTTTTTTTCCTTCATAGAATATTTTCAAAATGACCACACCAAACAAAACACCTCCTGGTGCTGACCCGAAGCAGTTGGAAAGGACTGGGACAGTACGGGAAATTGGGTCACAAGCTGTTTGGTCACTCTCATCTTGCAAACCAGGTAAAACAAAACAAGACAAACTGTAATAACTCCATACAGTTTCCTTGTATTCTGGGTTGACTTTAATTTTTTTTTGTTTATGTTCTTTATTTTAATTCTAAAGTATAAATTTAGTGAAGGTTTGATCAAGTGTATCTCTCTCCCAGTTGCTCGACTCTAACATCCACTGGAGTTTAACTGCATGTGTCATAAGGTCTCCTTTTTATCCTTCCCTGTCTCTGTTGTGATTCAGTTATTTGGGTAGCATTCTTGTTGACATTGTATTTTTCTATATGGGCTGAGTGGGTGATACATTTTTTGAGTGATTACATATCCCCAAATAAGTTTATTTTACTTGTGGTTGTGATAGAATTCTTGAGTGTCAGTTCTTTTCTCAAAAATTTATGGGTGCTATTTCACCACTTTCTTTTGTGTCTTGTTGCAAGTGAGAAGGCCGTGCCTGTCTCGCTCTCTCTTTTTTGTCTATGACATGTTCTTTCTTTCTGGAAACATTTACAGCTTTTCTATTTATTCTTAGCATTCAAGACTTTTCCATGATATGCCGGGATGCATGTGTATCTTTTCTCATCTGTTTAACGTGTTATTTGATGGGCATTTTCAGTCTGTAGACTCGAGCTCAGAGAAAGATTTTTGGCTTTAGGAACTTTAATTATAATGTTATTGGTTTAGTAGTTGCGTTTCCTTCACATTAAGACTCCTGTAGTCATCTTTCAAACCAGGCCTCTTGTGTTTTTCCTTCCAATACCTTTCTCTCTCTTTTTACAAGTAATTTATTGAAGTATAATTTACTTATAATAAAACTTACCCTTTTTAGGCATATAGTTCTATGAATTTTAATGAACACACAGTCGTGGAAGCACCATCACAATCAACAGTTTTCCATCATCTAGAGAAATTCCCTCATGCCTCTGCTCCCTGTCCCTGTGAGCCCCTGACAACTTCTGATCTGTGTCTCTTTGCTTTTCCCATAATGACATGTAAATGTAATCATGCTATAACAGCTTTTTGGGTCTGGCTTCTTTCACTTAACCTAATGCATTTGTGATTTTTACATGCTATTATATGCATCATTATTTTGTTTCTTTATTGCTGATTGCTATTCCACTGTACGGATCTAACTCAGTTTGTTTAGCTGTTCACCAGTTAATAGACATTTAGCTTTCTGGTAGCCAGCTTCCAAAATGATCTTTGTCTTTGGTTTTTATGCCCTTCTGTTGAGCCCTGCCACATTGTATCCAGGCTGGTCTCTTGGAACAGTACCAATAGAATATGGCAGAAATGATGGTATGTGACTTCTGAGACTAGACGGTAACAGACATTGTGGCTCTCCCTCACTCTTGTTTGGATCATTCACTCTGGGTGAAGCCAGCTGCCATTGTGTGGGGACTGGAGTGGCAAGGATCCTTGGCCTCCAGGCAGTAGCCAATGAAGAACTTGGCCTCTTGTCAGTGGTCACATGAGCAAACTGTCTTAGAATGGATCTGCAGCCCCAGTCAAGCTTTCAGATAACTGCTTTGGATAACCTGATGGCAAACTCAAGAGAGTCCTCGAGCCAAACAGCCCAAACAAGATGCTCCAAAATTCCTATCCCATAGAATTTGTGAAAAAATGTAAGTTTGGTATTTTAACCTGCTATGTTTTCTGATAGTTTGTTATGCAGCAATAGTTAACTTAGATAAGGTTGTTTTCAATATTTGGTGATTATGGATAAAGCTGCTAGAAACATGAACAGGTTTTTGAGTGGACATTTTCTTCAGTAAATACTTCTGAGTGAAATTGCTTGGTTCTATTATTGTGTGTCTTTCTTTCCAAGCTATACTTTTTATTTCCTTTTCTTGTTTTACTGTATTAGCTACCATTTCCAATATGTTGCATAGGAGGGGTGAGAGGGGACATCCTTGTCTTATTCCTGCTCCTAATGGGAAAGCTAGCTTTTCACCATTAAGCACAATGTTAGCTGTTACGTTTTTGTAGGTATATAAAGTTGAGGACATTTCCTCTTTTCTTAGTTTGCAGATAGAATTTACCTAGAATGAGTGTTGGATTTTTGTCAAATGTTTTCTCTACATCTATTGATAAGATCATATCAATAGATGTGATAGATTACACTAATTGATTTTAGAATGCTCAACCAGCTTTGCATACCTGGAATAAATCCTACTTGATTGTAGTATATAATCCTTTTAAAAAATATTTTATTGATTATGCCATTACAGTTGTTCTATTCCCCCCTTCACTCCCTTCCACCCTGTATACCCCTCCCCCACCATTCCCCCCTTTAGTTTATGACCGCTTGTCTCAAGTTCTTTAGATGCTATATTCCCCTACTATTCTTGCCCTCCCCCCCATCTATTTTCTACCTACCATCTATGCTACTTATTTTCTGTACCTTCTCCCCCCTTCTCCTTCTCCCACTCTCCTGTTGCTAATCCTCCATGGGATCTTCATTTCTATGGTTCTGCTCCTGATCTAGCTGTCCTCTTAGTTTGCTTTTGTTTTAGGTGTGGTTGTTAATAACTGTGAGTTTGCTGTCCTTTCACTGTTCATCTTTTTTATCTTCTTTTTCTTAGATAAGTCCCTTTAACATTTCATATAATAAGGGCTTGGTGATGATGAACTCCTTGAATTTGATCTTATCTGAGAAGCACTTTATCTGCCCTTCCATTCTAAATTAAAGCTTTGCTGGATAGAGCAATTTTGGTTGTAGGTCTTTGGATTTCATGACTTGGAATACTTCTTTCCAGCCCCTTCTTGCCTGTAAGGTCTCTCTTGAGTAATCAGCTGACAGTCTGATGGGAACTCCTTTGTAGGTGACTGTCCCCTTCTCTCTTGCTACTTCTAGGATTCTCTTCATTTTAATCTTGGCTAATGTAATGATGATGTGCCTTGGTGTGTTCCTTCTTGGGTCCAACTTCTTTGGGACTCTCTGAGCTTCCTGGATTTCCTGGAAGTCTATTTCCTTTGCCAGATTGGGGAAGTTCTCCTTTATTATTTGTTCAAATAAGTTTTCCGCTCATGGCTGTTCCTCTTCCCCTTCTGGTACCCCTATAATTCAGATGTTGGAGCGTTTAAAGATGTCCTGGAGGTTCCTAAGCCTCTCCTCATTTTTTTGAATTCTTGTTTCTTCATATTTTTCTGTTTGGTCATTTTTTTTCTTTCTTCTGGTCCACTCCCTTGATTTGAGTCCCAGTTTCCTTTCCGTCACTATTGGTTTCCTGTGCATTTCCCTTCATTTCAATTAGTTTAGCCTTTATATGTTCCTCTAATTTGTGACTAGAATCAACCAGTTCTGTGAGCATCCTGATCACCAGTGTTTTGAACTATGCATCTGAAAGTTTCGCTATTTC